GTTGGATTCCATGTTTCATTGATTCTTTATGTTGGATGCTGATCCAATTAATTTATATATACGTATACATCCCTTATAAAAAAAAACCAGAGATTCATTATGGAAGAATGTGATCTGATTGGATAATTTTTGTTGACCTAATCATCGTTATATCCGAAACAGGACGAAAAAGGAAGAAACCCCGCGGTTACAACGTGAAAAAATTGTAAGCGTCCGAAGTAGTTTGCGGTGTCGCGCGATGATCATAACTTCCCATTGCCTTTTGCAGGCCTGTACAAGACGAGAAAAAAAAAGTGTCGCCTACCAAGCCGAAAAGCTTGCACCGGAGGAAATGATAAATATCGGTGCGCGAGTACGTGACCGGGTCATTCGGATTTTTCAGGACGGTGAAAGAGAGTGCAATGGGTGTCCGGACGACGAAGAGGCTTTATCGTGACAAATGGCCGCGGGACGAAAATTTGCCTAATTAAAACGTGGCATGGTCAACACAGCCGCGTACTCCGTATACGGTAGAAAGGGATTAATTCTCCTCCCGCGTCGTTGGTACGACGGAATTTAACCCTTACTCGCCGCGCGCAATCTGGGATCAACGTGTTTTTATTTCAACAAAAAAGAGACGGAGAGAACGAGAGAGAAATTACCAGATTGGATTTGTTCGTTTGTTCATTTCCTTTGTATTGCTTAAAATATCACTCTCTCTATGTCTCTCTTTCCTTTTCTTTCTTCCATATCTCTCTCTCTCTTCATTTCGCGTGAAATAGATTTATTCATCTCTCTCAATTCAGAATTTTTCAATCTTAAGCTTGTTTTAAGTGGACTAAAACAATTCCAGGCTAGGTATTCATCTCGATATTCATAATCCGTTTTTATCTTAAGATCATTTCAAGTAATGTCGTAAGATAATAATGCTTTGACTGATGATATTTCAAAATGGTCTTAAATATAAAAAGTGACTATAAATATCGGCCCTAATCTCTTGGGATTTAAGATTTATCGACACGGTGTGCTATTTCTACGACAAAATATAGATTAGTTTGATCGTATCATCTCTGACAATTTAGTTCGAACCAAAGGAAGCCCTCCAAGTAAACCTCGCGCATTTAATACAATCGATCATGCACCAATAATTGCAACCGCGCCGTTTCCCGTCTCGCCGGGCCGTTTCTTCTAACTCGATAGCTTCTCGAGGACTCGGACGAGGTCCAATTGGTGAAGAACGCCGTTCGATAAATCCCTCGACAATTCTGGCGCGCCGAAAAGAGCCGCAGCCAATCCCGTCCCCCAACAGTCGATTCGCTCGCTCGGCCACTCGGAAAAAGCATCCCAACCACTTTGCGGTGTCCCCCTTGGTTTACTCATTTTCTTGCTCTTTCCTTTCTGTCCGCTTGCTTATCCTTCTCTCTCTCGTTGCTCGCAAGCTCGAGAGTTGCTGTGCTTGCAACCGATGTGACTTTTGACTCGCGCGACGATTGTATCGATTCCGCTTGTTCAATTCAAAATTTTATATTCTCTCTACAGGATTCAATTACATTTAAAATTTATATATTTATATTTAAATTATATTTAAAATCACATTCCGGCGGAATGCAAATGTGCATTAATAATTTCGAGTATTTACATTTCTATTGAATAAATAAAAAAAAAATACCATTTAATTAATTTTTGACTCGTAAAAATTAATCGTATGCGGTTGAATATTGTTACGATTTTCGTCGATTTTGTATGTTACTTCGCAACGTTATGCGCATTTTGTGTTCTGATAAATAATCTAAAGCATGAAAGAAGTTTCCATGAAAATGCACATGCGATAATTAATTATATAACTTTATAAATCCCTAGTTTGTTACGAGTATCCCACTCTTTCCTGCTCTGTTTTATTTAAATTAATACTACACTGGACTGGCAGCAATTAATACGAAACTGAACAATTTAATTTGAAACTCTGTTTCTACTTGTGATTCATCATACCATTCCGGGTATTATCTTCCACTTCATCTTCACTTCAAAGTACGACAACCACACTCGCGTAACTTTACGGGTGCGTCTCCATTTCGCCTTAACCATTGGATTCATCTTAATTAAATCAAAAAGACATCTAAATGAAATGTCAAGTTCGAGACAAATTTTGTAAAAAAAATAATGTTTTATCACCGAACATCTTTTTCGCCGAGTTCCAAACTGAAATAAATTATTTTTGCTTATAGTTTTTTATATTATTCTCACGTAAACGAGAAAATTTTGATATTATCTTGATATCTCTTTCTCTTTTGATAATTAAAAAAGTATAAAATATTTTCTACTCATTTTCATTAAGTATCAATTTTTTATCTGCTTTTTTTCTAAAAAAGAAGTATTTTAACTTTTCCTGCCATACACAATTTTAAATTATTATCACTGTCGCGAAAGATAATCGGAAATTCATGAAAAAATAGTTCAATTCTCAAAAACGACGGTCGCGTTGCATCTGCATATACAGGCCATACAGCATTTGCGCGTAATAACTGCGATTCGATCATGCGAGCTCGCACACAAACGACGCGATCGAGAGAGGCTAGACATTCCGGAAAATTCTCTCTGGAAGAAATGAATGTCGATTGACGTGCGCGGGTGGGAATTAAATAAAAATCACGCGAATCGTAGATTTGGACCACGCGCAGCCGGAAACGAGATGAGCACCGAGCTCGCCTGTTCGCTCGGCTGGTCTCTGCATGCGAATGAGGGAAACGCACGGTGCGGGGACGAAGGGCGGAAGGGACGCGAAAGGAGAACACCTCGGGGATGGGAAGGGTTACAGTTCCTTGTCGCCGAAGCCAAGTCGAGCCAAGAAACGGAACGGAAGGAAGACTGCATTTATTAAACTGAGCGCAGACGTGCACGTCGCCCCTCTCCCCCGACTCCCTACATCCCCGTCTTCCTTTCACCCCGCTTGAGGGAAACTACGGGCTTTCGCTCGAGCAATCCCTCCCCCACACCTCGACTTCTCTCTTTCTCTCTCTCTCTCGCCACTCTTTTCTTCAACCCTCCTACTGTTCGTAATTCCTGGCCGCCGCTACTACCTCCCTGGAATGAGGTCGGTATGTGTAAAATAGTGCCCCGATACGCTCTTCATCACCGAGTCGCTTCTTCGCCGTCCGCTTTATTTCTTCCTCTCGCTTTCTTTCGGTCCCTTTTATCTCCACTTTACTCTCCATCTTCCGCTCTTTCTCTCGAGCGTGTTTCTTCTGGCTATTGTCAATAGTTGCCGCTTTGCTCGAATTTTTCGCACATTTCCGTTTCCCTTGATCTTCTTCGTGCCATTCTTTTCGAATAACGTTACATTTTTTTTTTTACGATTTTTTCCCTTATATTTTGTGTGCTCCTTTTTTTGTCATATTTCGCAATCTTTTTATTTTTCGCTCTTATGTTTCTCTTGTCCCATTTTTTCCCTTCGAATCTTTTTATCTCAACTCACTTTTACTTCCCCTTCTCGGTCTATTTATGGTTTTTCAATTTGCTTCGGTGCTTTCTTCCTTTTTACCTTTACCCTCCCTCTAAGAACCCGTCTCTATGTACCGCTTTTCTGGAGCAAATAATGTCATGCACTAACACGACTGAAATGCGGGTAGTCCGACTGTGCTCGGTATTTAGGTTTGTACCACATCCACCGACGAGAATCATCATCGGTGAAAGCCGCCGGAAGTATCGATCGGTCGGGCGATCGTGGATGACGAATATGCGCCGGGCGTATCGCACCCCCGTGCCGTTCTCTCTTTTCCTCCTCTCACACTCTCACTGTCTATCCCTCTCTATTTGTGCGACGTATACCGGTGGCACCGCGTCGCGTGTGGGGGAAACGAGACAATTAATCAACCGGCACAATCGCGCACCTACTCGCGCGACTCGGTCGAGCCCCGTGACTGATTCATTATGAGACCTTAATTAAGTCCCCGGACATTAGCATACCGACCACGCGGCAACCCCCTCTCTTTCCGCCACTGTGCTTCTCTTATCGTCTACCCTCCGCTCTTCTGTATTCTTTCGGTACGGTGTACGGTGTACGGTGTCTGATCCTCTGGAATTCGCGAAACTGGATCAGCTTGACCCTCGACAGGAGTAAAAAACGACCTTAATTGGAATAATTAGTCACGAAAGGTACCCTCTCGGCAAATTATACGTTTAAGAATTCTGGACTGGTTAATAATATGATTAGAAGAGAGTTCTGTTAAATTAATTATTCTGTTACAATCTCTATCGCGAAGACTAAAATGTTTTAAATGAGTTTGATGCAATTCAGAATAGATCTCTTGTCACCCAATTACAAATTTACATTTTACAAATGAAGAAAAATGTCCACGAGAGCGAAAGGTTTGAAAATGAGCGCAGGTGTATCCGTCTGGGATAGTCTTATCTTATCACGTGCTGGATGGCCAAACCTTCCAACGCGAGAATTCTTTATTGGGCAGTTAGACACCCCTGATAAAAACGCGCCGTTTTGCCGCTCATACTAATGAAATTTTTCAGACAGATTTTTTTTCATCGTGAGAGCTATTAAAAGTTATTTCAAAATCTATTAAATTTAATCCTAATTGGTATTTGTAGATCCAGTGAACCTGGACATTTTTTCACCTACGTTGTGAATGAGATTGTTTATAACAAATATTTTCCACGACTTTACATAATTTTAAGTTACATAATTTTCTTTTTCGAATTTTCATCTTTAAAATGAAAAAAACCCTTATATTAACTTTAAGCAAAGATATGTATATCGATTTAAATTAATTAATTAATTAAATTAATTAATACTAGACTCGCGAATACCATCAAGAAAATTTCGGAGCTAATACCGATTAAAGTTAAAAATCCGTATTAATATTTATGACTCCAATTACATCAGATACTACAATTCAAATTTTGCGTTGGTCGAAATTTTCTCGTGAAAAAAAGGCGTTTTCTTTCCTCCCGCGTTCCCGATTAATGAGTCTCCGTCAATAAGATTAATCGGTGATCTTTTAATTTTTCAGCACGCTGAGGTGGAGGATGGAGGAGCTGGAGACGCTGGAGAGCACGGAGTGCCCGGAGTGCCCCGGGCCGCCCCCTGAGTTCCGGTTGCCACCACCCCCCCGACCGCCTTTCCTCACTGAGGGCACCTTCTGCTCGGAGTCACCCCTCGCCGAGCTCGAAGACTGTGTTGCTATCCCGGTAAGTCCGATCTTTCGATCTTTTCCCTCGATTCTTCTAAGCAATTCGATTTACTGTGCAGCACTGATAAGGAATGATTATATTTCCCTTGTCCGTGGAAATTTTTCATTCACTTTTCATCACGATCGCAGGAATTACTTGTAAAATTATATAGGGAACCGTTAGTTGAATGTTTGAATGATTTTCTCAGAAATCGCGAAAGGAGATTAATTAACTTCAAAAATACTAATCAGTTAAAGCGGTAATACATTTTATTAATTTTATCTAATATAAATGTTAAAATAATATTTCAATTACATATAATATATACTGAGAAAAATATTTTGTATTATGCTAAATACACAATTACAAAAACATTCTCTTTAATTAAAAAATTTTTATTTTTCTGCAATCTAATTAAAAATTCGGTTATTCTAATCAAATTTTGATTCGAACAACAAAATTAAAAAATTAAAGTGTAAGGAAGTTTTTGTAAGTCACATATCATATAAAACATTTGTCTCAGTGTACTTGTAATCGTCATTGCGATATGCGTGCGAATTGTTTCGATGTAGAGCGGCCCTTACTCGATGGACTATACGTTATTTCCGAGGATGTGTTCGATAGTTCGATATGCGCGCAGTCGGTGACCCGTACTAATCTGCAAATCGCCTTTGCCTAGCGTTCGTCGAACGACGTATTCGCTAATTCCCCGACGCGACTCGCTACTTCACGTCCGTAACTAACTCTGTAATTCAGCCTTCTTTCCACGGCTTACATCGATCTTCCGTACGGTCGATTCTCTGCTCTCGAGACGCGGTGCAATGTACGGGAGGGTTGCCGCTTTTACCGTTCGCCACCCATTCGAGGAATATTTGCGCGCCGCGTTCACTGTAGTATATTCGCGAGCGCAGCCGGAATTCGAAGATCGATGGTCGGAAGTTACATCGGCTCGAATCGCGAACTTCGCTCGAGTTTCGCGATTATTAAAATGCCGCGTGAAAAAAATGGCGAAAAGTTCGAGGGGGTTCAACCTCAGGTACTTAACCGCGTGGAAAAATTATTACGCGACGTAGATCCTCCCTCGGGAAGATGCCAATCTATTTAGTTCGTTCCTGGATATAATCCAACGAATTAGTTGCGTGCTCAGAATTATGATCATCACAATTATCTACTCTAATTGAATATGCATCGTACAGGCGGAGTCGACATCAATCGCAAAATATCAATGATTGTATTATTCAAGAGAATATCAGTAAATCAAATATACATGACATTTGCAATGAATAGCTTGAATTTTATCGATGAATAGCTTGAATTTAGTGACCCATTTCAAGCGTACCCAAGACGCACGAGAAACGTTATTCGCGATTTCGAGATATTAAATTCCTCTAATTATTCTAACGCGCTCTCGTTCCTCTCTCTGCTAAAAAAAAAATCAACATTAGGCGAATACTTGAGCTGAAATCCTGCACGTCTCGTAAAAATTCGCTGCCGAGCATTTAATTGCAAGTACAATCGAGAAAGTCTTTCGTTCTTTCCCCGCGTAAGAGATAAATTGGATATCCTGCTGTTATCTCTTTGATCCGCCAAATGCGCGCAAGAACTGTCTTGAATAATAGAGTATCACGGAGAAATAGATGGGTAGGGGAAAAAAGGGTGGGAGGGACAAAAAGGTGGTGCACTGGAACAGGGGGAAAGGTTGAAGTTAATGTAAAATACATAAACGGAGTACTCGAGCAATTAAAGCAATCAGCATTCGCCGAGATTTTTCCGTCTTATCAAAGTGCCCTTTCCTGCGCCACCGCCCTTTTTAATCTTCCTAGTATCAGCATGATTCGCATAATATGTAACAGCCTGTATTTCTTCGGTAATTTATTGCTCGTCACGCTAGAAAGCTTTTATTGAGCTTTCATTTGGATGTTGTTTCGAGATATTGTTACGTTCCAATAGCGCGGATGTAAATCTGGTTTATTCTTTACAAGCTCTAGTAATTTGTCGATCATATTCGCGTGCACGGCACTAGCCGTTAATTAATTAAAATAACTGTGATAATAACAATAATTCTAATAATAACAGGCATCGATGTGCAGCACGACTATGATTTCGACTTTTTATTGGAAGATAAATAGAGCATGTCGGCAAACACACGTCGAGCGCGATTAACTCTTATTTCATTTTACATCTGCTAATGGATTATACTTCGAGAACGCGCGGTATAAACGTTCAGTTATTATCGCAAGTGTTTCTATATGAAGCTTTCAGATGTAACGTGAGTGAGATACCGAGTTGGAGGATTAAGATGAGCGACAAAAATATTGAAATTCCATACATCCTATAGATTAGATTCCATGGTTCTAACATTTTCTTACACTCTTAATTCTGTATCGCGTAGTACTTTTAAATTCGAGGTATCAATTTTTAAATGAAAATGACATTTCGAATTACACATTAATAGGAGATTTTTTTTATTGTACGTATTTTTTTTCTCGGTATATTAGCATGAGGTACGAAATACACGAGATAATAATAAACACGTAATTATTTGATTGAAGGTGAACTTGCGATACTTTTCTTTTAGAAATGTAAAGTAAAGTTTATTCTACAATTGCGTAAGTTGTAAGTGGTTGTAATTGTAAGGTGAATTGATCAATCACAGTCGAATATGAGAAAAATATTCAACTGTAATTAATCTATTCTTACAATTAAACCACTTACAACTATGCTTCCGCATTTGTAGAATAGGCTTTAAACAAATGATAATCGACAATAACATAGCTATTATACGTTATTGGTCACTATGAAATATCAATTGTGATACGATTATATAAAGTATCGGTATTAGGAATCTAGATGGATGATTGTAAATTTTTTCTTTTCACAATGGAGAACTCCTGATTTCGTACTATTTTCCCTCTTATGTTTGATGGTACTTATATCTCTTGTAATTTACGAAAGGTTTTTATTTCAATGTGTATCTTCAATTTTTGACAATACAAAAAGGGTGTAGGTGTTTTATGAATACATTGTAACGCGTTGTACAATTTCCTTCGTTCATCAGCATGATCTATAAGGCACGACCGAAGGTGTGAACGGAGCATCGCGAATAAGGAAAAGAATTCCAATTAAAATGCGCCCCACGCAATTCTCTCGCTGGTCAATATTTTTCCAGGCTACTTCTCTTCAAGTACGATAACTCAATGAGAAGTATCGCCGTAAATTTTGACGTCTTGTCGCTGCGCGATAACTGCATTGCGTTAGATAGTAAGTATAACTGATTGCTGCAGCTATGAGAAATTTAGCAATTATGTGAAATAGTAATTTAACATTTTTTTGGATGCGAATAAAATAATCGTAAAATATATAAAACGCACAGAATACTACACGAAATGAGAACGATTTTAAATCTAAAAATTTAACTAGATTTGGATCTGAAAGTAATTTGATTGGATCATCAAAATAATTTAAAATGCTTAAACTAGTTGTTTAGAATGTTGAAACTTCTTGCAATATTATTAACATTTAAGTTATACATAATTATTTTTAATCCAACAAAATTATTTTCAGATCTGGATCTAAATTTTTAGATTTTCAACAAAACTGTTCTTTCGTGGGAAAATATCATATTCTTCTCTTTAAATTGGAGAGTCAAATTCGAACGAGAGAAATGTTCGGAAATTTTATCGAGTATCCTCAGTTTTCGGTTCAGCAGTTAAAAGTGATCTCGTTGGATCGCGAGAGAACGATCTCGCCAGAGTATTCCAAACGAGAGAATCGAAAGTGAAATGCAGTCGCGAGAATCCGGCAAGTCGAGCTTACAAAATGGAGCAGCTTTCTTGACAGTAGGATTGCCATACACATAATAATCGCTCGCGCGTTACATCTTATCGTTAGTTAAATCGAGCGCGGATAAAAAGAGCGACACCCGACGCAGCTGGTGTTAAAAGCGAGCGGGTGGTAAGAATAATCGTCGCGACCGATGTAAATAGAGGGAGGTCACCGGACGGATGGGCGACGCGAGAGAGCGTAGTTTTGGTATTGTCTTTAGCGGATGGCCGGCCTGTAAAAAAAAAGAAAGAAGAGAGAAAGAAAAGGGGCGTATTCAACTCCGACGAGCACTGCGCATCGTCTCTCTTTTGTCCTCTTTTTCTTCTTTGGATCCTCGTGGTCCTCTCATGCATTCGTCTCTCTTGCGACGATAAAAACGACGCACGGCTATTAATAGGGAACATGTGTCTCCCGACCTTGTTGCACGCCACTCGACCCATTATCGCCGCGCAATTTTACATCATTACAGATAATTGGAGACACACCACTTTCCGCGCTCCTCTAGGCGTCTCGATGAGAAGATATATTTCAGGAAGTTAACACCGTGACCCGAGATCCGATAGAGTCAATCACGTCTCTCTATACAGTTTATACCGTTAGCAGTTGCATTCACAGGATATATTCGGTATCAAATGCAATCGATATTTTTAACGCACATGAACGATTTTGTTAAAAATATAAAAATTTACTTGAATATAAATCTGAAAACAATTTTTTTAGACTATTAAAACAATTATAGAGAGAACGCTTAGAAACTGCTATTAAAGCTTTTAGCAGCATTGCTTATCACGTGTTTGAATTTTCTACATAATTATTTTAATAGTCCAACAAAATTATTTTCAGATTTATCTATACCTAAATTTTTTAATTATACTTCAATAAAATCTTTCTTTCTATGCAAAATACAATAATTGAAATAATTGAAATAAATGTCTTCATGTTAAAACAACAACGTAGCTTTATTTTACTGGTAACAAGATATATATATATATATATATCGCTTAGCATTATTGATATCGTTTAAACGTGGTATTGCTAAATGCTGCAGCATTGATCATTCATGGACGCAGAATTACGGTTGATTAATATCGCTGACGCCACAGAATAGAGAACATCCTCTCAGAAATTCATTGGAATGAAATTAATTCGAAGTTGCAGTCGAAGATACTGCTGCTGCTGTTGATAGTTTTGCT